CAGGAATGGCAGAAAGATTGTAGCCTGTAGGTGCAATTAATGAAGCTGGTGAATACTTTAATTTTAATTTTTTTTTTAAAGCTGTCATCATGAGTGCTGTTGCCAAAAACGTTCTTGGGCTTTCTTGCTCTTTCCTTCTTTTTGGTAGAATAAATAAATTGGTGTATTGATGCCTGCCCCAAATAAAAGCTGATTGCCTTTAACCAAATTCTTCATTAGAGTTTGCTGTGTAGCTGCCATGAGGAGTTGGGAGAACGAGTAAAAGTGCATTCATGCATGGCCAGAAAGGGAAGAGAGAAGGAGACCTGCAGGACTAGTTCATGACTGTTTGAAGTGCCAATTATATTCCAGTGTAAAAATGTGCTTTTACAACAGATTTAGTCCTGAGACTGGAGGTGTTCAAATGAGTAGTCCTGCCCTTAATTGGGTTGTGTACTGTCATTGTTCATGTACTGTCTTGCTTTAGCAGTTTGATGACTGTGTACTTGCTGTTCCCAATAAAAACTAACTTTCCAAAAATGAAATTAATTTTTTTTTGTCAAATCAACAGGTTGATCTAAAGTGCTACAAAGCAATATAATTATTAGAATTGAAATAGAAGGTATAGAAAATACCAACCGGTAGAGAAAATGTGGCATTAAATGACTACTTTATGATAAATTTAAGCTAGTCAAAGGTGATGTTTTCATGAGGGTTCAATCCATGATAAATTGCATCATAGAGCTAAACAGTCAGAAAACCATTCACTTTGTTATTATATTGCTTATTCAGCTAGAGCATATGAAGTGAGGTGCAGTGGAATTACGGGGGAGGGCATGGGAACATGTGGAAGGGGTACTGAAGAGAGATAGATCAGCATCTTTGGTGTTTAAAATGTTGTGGAAAAGCAATTGAAGCAGAGGAGTTGCTTGGACTTGATTTTCAAAGCTTGTTTTTGCAACATGCATCCTATTTTCAAGGACTGAAGGAGGCTAAGTGCATAAAATAATATCTGCCTGTGCTCCCACATCATGTTCGCATATCATGTTTCCACAGGTGTAAATTTAAATGTAATTGATGTTTTGGAATGAAGAAGCATAATTCTGTAGTCATATAACTCTTTTAAAATAGCTGATAAAAGAAAATCCTATTTTAGAACATTTGGATTTTTCAACTACAAACTATACAGATGCCTGTATTTGCAATTGGGAATAAGAATTACATGACAAGTTGTTCAGGTCAAGTTGTTTTGGTTTTTTGTTTGTTTTTTGTTTATTTGTTGGGGTGTTTTTTCTTTTTAGCTAATTGGTAAATGGTGAAAAAGGTCAGGAAAACAATTACTTTTGGGGGAAAAAAAAAAAGGGGGACCAGTGACTGGTGAAAGTTTCGAGTTTTCCATTTTATAGATACCTAAACATTTTGGAGTTTTTGCTGTCACTGAAAACTTTGGGTTTTGTTTGAATTTTGGTAGTTGCAAACAATGCCTACCAGCACAAGGTGCAGGTCCCTTTCCTAAGCTTACAGGATGTAGGAAAACAAGTAGCGGAGAACAACTAACTGAAGTGCAAGTTGCCCAGCATCACCCAACTGGACTGTGGAAAGGATGCAAAACAAGAGCTATGGTTCCTGTCAGCTTATGCTGATCTAGCTACTGGCTGCCTCCAATCAGTACTTATCTTGCAATAATTGCTGAGTTGTTCCAGTATGATAACCTGACTAAAAAAGAGCTATTTTTCTGTCTGTGAGGACGCATTGGTGGCTCAGCCCAGGATCAAAAGCATCAGAAACAGTGCAAGGGAGGCAAGAAGGGAAACAGGGAGCAATAGAAGTCGCAGCTAGGTTGTTTTATGGCCCTTGGAATTGTGGCCTTAGTCTTCAGTTTTGCTTCATGCTGATCTCTTTTAACTGTTAATGATTAAGGGGGGTGCATGGAGTAAGCGGAGGTTGAGGCAGTGTTTGATCATGTAGTGCCTAATGTTGGGAAGTTGTATGTGTTTGAGACAAATAATTTTGATTCAAGAATATGCAGCACCTATGTCATCTTTTTACCAATATAATTGTGTCTGTGTCAGCTGGCAGAAAGGATTGCATAGGACAGTTAAAAAAAGACACTGAAGTTTTACATTTAGAAATAAATTTATAGAATCTAGAAACAGCGCCTTCAGAAGATGCTTAAATATTCATTTGTACAGGAATTGCTGGTTTTCTTCAGCAGTATGTTGAACTTCCTTAATATTGTCTAGTAATTTAATCATTACCAAAACTAGAATGAGTTTAGATGGTTGGGTTTTGTCACACTTCCAATTTTAGTTTCTGTGGAGGTTGATCTTTTAATTAAATAGGTCCTCGTGAATGAGTGGTACAACTTGAAATTTATTATTGTAAAAATTACAGGGTTTTTTATAATACCATAGGCTGAAGTTATTAAATTCCATTGGAATGTTCTGCCTCCAGATGTTTCCTTTCTTTCCCTCTTTTCCTTGCTGTCTACTGGTTTTGCAAGATTTCAGTTTACCTTTCTCTGTGCTTTAATAGTCTTTGCAATCTCCTGTCGCAGTCATACTGTGGCAGGGAGAGGAGAACATTCCATTGTAAATTCTTCTTTTACAAACCAAAGGTGATATTCTAAATTGAGGCACGGCTCAGGATCTCATGATTCAGTAGCTGCTTTCTGCCTCTTGCATCATAACCAATTATTTGACTTTGTAATTGGAAGTTCGCTGGAGCTTCATTAGAGTTCTCAAGAGATGGTAGAGTCTGACTAGTTCTTTCATTACCTCTGTAGTACTTGGGTGGTGACGTAGATTTTTAGTGAGGTGGTCAACTAAACAATTTTGCGGCTTAAAACTGCTACAGGAAAGCAGCATTTTTATGTTAGTCGCTGCAAATACCTTTTCTGCTTTACGAGCATTGCAACCTTGGTATGCCATCAATACAACAATAAAAGGCTTGAATTTACGCACTGGTAAATGCTACAATTTGAAGTTTCAAACACTCAGAGCTGTAATTAGATTATATTAATGATTTCTGAATTATTTTTTTCCAATTATTAGGCCAGCATCAGCATTAGTATTTCTTCAAGACCGTTATGGTGCACTACAAATCTATTCAACTTTAAATAAAATAGAATAGATGTTCTCTGATTCTGCTTACTGCCTATGAGCCGTTTATAGGCATGCTGCATATTGGGAACTGATGAGTTGGGCTATAATTTCTATTAATTTGCTCTTAACTTAAGCATAGATCACACACTTACTGTGTAATTATATATATATATTAATCTCCTTTCACAGTAAGAATGTTACAGTTAGAATGTGGTATAATGTATTTTATAGCATGCGACATTACTCCCAGTTCACTTTTATGAAGCCTATCTTTTAAAAAAATAAACCTTACATTAAAATTCTGGCTTATTTAATTCTTGATATAGAAGTAGTTAATTAATCTGATGATTTCTGTGATCTTGTAATGACAACAGTTCAGTGAAACATGTAAGCAACATTTCAGGAGGTACCAAGGAGCTTTGATTTATTGTGCTCTATTTTTGTTTTAGAGGTTTTAGCATTTGGTGACAGATAAACAGTTAATAAAGCTAGTCAGTTCATTAAAATGGCATTGCTCTAGTATTAAGAGTATTCAGTAGTACTTGTGTATCTCTGGTTTGTATCAATAACTTGAATGTTTATGTTCCAAAAAGTTGGTTTCTTGCGTGCACGTTTGATAAAAATATAAACTGGCACACCTATAGTAGAATGTTGGAAGAGGTTGAACTAAAATTGCTTTGCATGTTAACATTAAAGGTAATTTAGTCTACATTCAGTAAAGCCAAGATTAACAGTGTAAACCAATGCTCTAAGAGTCTATATTAGTTGATCTATAAAATGCAACATTTTCTAAACAGTCAACAACAGTATTTAATATAACTAGAACAGCTGCAAAATACTTTTTCCCCTTAGATTATATATCCTAATCAAGTATCTTTTGTGTATTTTGTGTTGGATTTCTTACTGTTTTTCTATTTTGAGTTTGTTTTGTCCTGGCAAATGGTTATAGAAACCTCATTGGTTCAACTGTGTATGTAGTATCATGTGCAGGGGCAATCTTAATACTTTTCAGTATTTTTCAAAAACTGTTTCTTCCTTCCCTTTGCCTTCAAAGGGAGAAAAAAACCAGAATTCTAGTATCTATAGTTTTATACCAACTTAATTGTCGACTTTGCCTGTTTCACACGTGCAGTTCATTTACTTGTTTTCTGATATATCATATATTGTTTTCATTTTTTCCCTTCTAGGTTTAAAGAAAACCGTAAAGATGATATTTGGCTCGTAGATGTGAGTATATGAGAAAAATGGGAAGACCTGCTAGTGGAACTCAAAACACAAAATGTACAATGCTTCACTCTGTAGGTAGTAAGGCAGCTTCATCGTTTGGAAAATCATTTGTACATGGTGCAGAAAAATTACATGACAGTAATTCTTCTGACAGGGTGGTTAAGCAATCTGCCTGTATTGTTCAGGATGAACCAGGAATTAGACTGAGTATTTGATGCAGACAGGCTTCATCCTATATTTTACAGTCCTTAAAAAAGGAAAGCAGATTACCTAATACTGATAGTCAGGAGGTGAAAACTTCAGAATTTTTACAATTCCATTCTGTAGTTATACCAGCTAATTTGTGTTCTAGACATTTAGCACTACAACATCAAATATATGAGAGGCTTCTTTTACTTTTCTATCGTACTTGGAAACATTCAGTGCTCCTTATTTCAGAAGCAAGGACTTGTTTGGGAATGAGATAAAATTCTTTTTAGCCCACCCAAATATGAACTGTAATTCCCAAATTGTATAATTCAGATTTGTGATTTTTGAGTGGGGAAAACTATATATGCTCATTCAGAATTGATCAGTAATGTACAGGAAAATAAAATCCAACTTTGTCAAGTTGTAACCTAATCTTGTTATACCAAAACATTGATACTTTCTATATTAATTTCACTGAGGTGTTGCAGCAAGACATTGGCAGAAAGATAAAATGAAGTCTCTCAGCTTTGCTTGGCCCTCAGAAAACAGGATCAATTTTACAGTGTCCTTGTATAAAAGTAGTTGCTGAAAAACTGAAATCAAGAGGGCAGCTTTAGGAAGTATACATATAGATAGATATATATGTATGTATATATTGCCCTTCCTTTCAAAGAATGGTGTTCCCCTATTGGCATATAAATTCATATTTCTGGATAGATTGATTACATGATGTTTTAACTTTGGAAAAAAAAGAGGAAAATATTCCAGAAGAGATTTTTTTAAAAGAAATGTTACCACACAGTCTATTTTTAAATAATAAATCATATAATAGTACAGCAATTTAATGTATTCTTTTCAAACTTGTGCTTTCATATTAAAAGTAGCACCAAATCATAAAAGCTCTGTTTGTCATTAACTTGCAGTTTTATTAAGACTTAAAGAACACCACCACTGAAAAATAAGCCTTGCTAGTGTATTTGAGGGTTAATCATTGAATCAACTTCTCATGATTATTTCTCTTCATTAACTTCTCTTTTGTGTTTTTATATCAAATATATTCAGTTTTATGCACCTTGGTGTGGCCACTGCAAGAAACTGGAGCCTGTGTGGAATGAAGTGGGTATAGAAATGAAAAATATGGGCTCTCCAGTAAAAGTTGGGAAGATGGATGCAACTTCCTTTTCTAGTAAGTATGGTTTGGTTAGGGGTGATTTCATGACAGCCTCTGTTTTGAAACTGTTCTTAATTTTTTTCTTTAGACATTATTCTGTTCTGTATCATAGCAGATGTATGCAAAAAGTCATTGGAGAACAACTTCCTATCTTTTTCTTTCTAAAATGACAACATGCTGTAGTATGCGGTTTTTATTACACTTGTTTCTGCTTGTCTGGGGAATTCTTCCTGACAAATGGAAGGTAAAAGCTTTTCAAAAATAAGCTTTTGATATGCTTCTTAGAGTACTGTTATACGAGCGCCTTTATGTGGTGCATCATTTGACAGCATCCAATTTTAGGTTTCTTTTATTACTGTTGGACAAGTGCTTGTGCTCTTGCTGTTATTCTTTTCATGTAATCAGTCCTTAAGATGTTACACCAAAAGCCTGTTGAAATCACTGAAGTCATTACATGAGTGTTGAGACAATTTCTCCCCATGTTTCTCTATAAATGTCTTGAAGAACCAATTTTAGCTATTTTAACACTCATTTTTGATGATGCTTTCACATGTACTGACCTTTTCAGAGAAACTGCAAAACTTTAGGTATTCAGAGAAGTGGTTTGGATAGACATGAGAGGATTGTTGCATGCTTAACAGTATTTTCTTAAACAAGCATGCTTGTTTATTGTCATAAAGACTGCATAGGCAGCAGTGAAGTCCAAATGAGATCTGTAGGTGATAAAACATTACATACATTAACAGAGTTTTTAGTTAATACCCATTAAAACTGATTATTCTGGATTGTTATACTTGCATAAAATATTATGCAGAGTAGGTTTTTTCAGTGATAATCCAGTTTTTCTGTGCTTACATAGAGCAAAATTTGGTCTTCTGAGATCGAAATGATCTTGTCTCAAAGACCAATTTATTGTATGTAGCTTTTTCTGTAAAGCTACATAAATTTGACCTCATGTTTCATCTTAAAGATACTTACTTGCTAAAGAAAAATAAGTCTGGAGAATTAAAAGTTTCAAGATCATGCAACCAGGTAACTTCAAAATTTGGAATAGATTTGGTGGATCTCTAACATTCCAGTCACATATATCAAATTCTAAATCATACACATTGTATAAACTCTTACCCTGAAATATTTGCATCTGTCATCCTGATACTAGATTTTTGTATTTGTTACCTAGAAGAGAATTGGCACTTTGTTCTAAAATTCAGTTTTGCCTATTTAAAAATTACTAAAAACTGCAAGGGTACCTTTGTGCCCTGAAAATGTTTTTCTTCTCAGATTTGTTACCAGTTTTATGAAGAATTGAGGCTGATAAATCTTTTGAAATAGTTTCATGCGTTTATTTTGAAAGTGGAAATTTTACAACGTCTCGATATGAAAAGCTCAGTCAACTCTGCTTAATGTCTTCCCAATCTAAAGATTCTCTGAAATCAAAGTAATTCAGTCTTGAGAATATAACAAAGAAATGCAGCTGGGCACACACATGTGACTAGGAAGGAACATAAATGGTTGGCTCTGCATAGTTTATGTTCCTAATAGGAATGTGAAGTAGTGCAAAAAATCTGAACTTTGGGTAGCTTGTCATCAGAGAGCTGGGATCACAGCTGAACGTATAAAGCATCCAATAAGTGTTGCCTCTGGTAGCTCTGTGGAATGAGAATACAGCAGTTATATCAACAGAACAGGCACCCAGTGTGGTATCAGTCAAATTTTCATGGGTGTTAGCCTCAGGAGGCCACTGAATGTGATCAAAGTAGAAATACATCACATCTGAAGCTAGCATAATTACTGCTGTTTGCCTATGCTGCATTCTTCATATCGGCAAGTGGAGGTGATCATGTAAATAGGTAAGGCAGTTCCGTGATGTTGAGAGGATTTTAGTAATCTCTTTGGCTGGGATGTTTAAAAAAATATATATATTAAAAAGTGTCTGTTTTGTAGTTCTCTTGGCTGTGCTCAAGAGCTTTACAAGGAGCAGTTAACTGCCTGTCAACAGCTCTCGTGATTGAATGTTCTAAATACACATTTTAACGCGTTCTAGTTCTATGTAGTACAGGTAGTACAGGTATGAGAGAAAAGGATCAGAATCAAATTCATCCTACTGCATATATCTCCTTTGACTAAGATGCCGGTAGGTGAGCTGCTTGTTTTATTTGTAGTTCTGTGCAATTAGGGTTTTGATCCAGGCAGACAATCTTAGGGTCACGATTTCTAAACTTATTCAGAGCCCTGCACACAAGTCCTCCCACATCTGCTGCTCTGCCATGTCATTGATAGCTTCAAAATGCTTATGTTAAAAGTATTGAATCTTGGTCCATTTTGCAGGGGTTGTTTTTCAGTAGGGAATTGCACAAGTGTTGTCAGAATTTTAGACTTATTTTAGCCTTTTTTGAAGACTACTTAGCTTAACTTTTGGAAAACACTGAATTGACTGGGAAGTGTAGTTTAAGGTGGCAGTTACTATGTTGTCAACTGGAAGGGCAGTTGCAAATTGTTCTCCTCTAATTGATGGGAGCAAGCTACAAGGTTTTAAACAAATGAGATGAAGGAAAAAGTTCTGCAATTGTCTTACTTTTTAGCACTTTAGTAAGCAGCAGGTAAGTAACTGATTGCTTAGAAAGTGTCTCTTTCTGGTGAAGTTGATGACTATGGACATTTATCTCTGCAGAATATGCTTTAAAACCTGATTTTTTTGTAACTACTACAGTATGATACTGCACTTTTTTTGTTATCTGTTACTGTAGCACGTGAGTAGTTAATTGTCTTTCATATTTCTTTTCAGTATGAGTTTTTACAACTTTACATCCATGATGCTTAATTCCTGCTTCTGGTATTTCCAGTCAATTGTATGTGCATATTAAATCCATACTACCTGCTGGTGAAAATTGACCAAGCGTGTCTATTTGGAGGATTCTCGTGTTATTTGACTTGCAGCATAGGAATTGAGACCCTATGCTGGGACTGTGCAGTACTCCAGAAGGAGGTCCAAAATTTAATAATGTAGCTTCATAACAGCAGCTTCTTTAAAGCAAGTAAAATAATTCATATTGAACTAATCGATAGATTTTTCATTTATTTTATGTGATTGCAATAGTAAACTATGTTTAAAGATTAAGGCAGAAGAGCAAGAAAGACTTGGTTCACTTTGGCATTAACACATTTCTTTCAGGTATTGCATCTGAATTTGGAGTGCGAGGCTATCCAACAATTAAGCTGTAAGTTGATGCTTCCTGTTCGATTTCTGACAATTATCTATCCTACTACTGATTTCATGACAGTGTAAAAAAAAAAAGTGTGCTCTGATTAAAAATCCCTGACAAACAAACCACAAAAAAGCCCCAAAACAAAACCAAACAGAAATACTCCACAGTCTCATTTTGACATTATCATTGCCTTCTACTGGACTGTTTTGCTTTGAAATTCAGTAGTATCGACGGAAGACAACATTTATAGGAAAACACCAGTCCATAATGGTATTACATGTATTTGCTTATAACATGTATAATATATAGTCTGGTACAAGGTCATGTTAAAGAAAGACTTAGTAATTTTGAATACTTTTTCTTATGAACATACTGGATTTGTTAGCAGGTTATTGTTTAAGCAAATAGTATTCATAATATATAATAAATCTTGTCAAGTTAGCTTTCTCAAAAAGGCGGCAGAGACGTTTAGCTTATTAATCTTTAAGGATAAAAACATTTATGGGCATAGAGAGGCATAGAAAAATTTGGTTTATGATTGGGTTTTTTTTCCTGTGACTTTCCTAAACCTATATGGATTCAAGTAAAGCCTGTTAGAATTAGTAAAACTCTTGAATACTCTTATAATGGAAGTGTGCTGCATCCCTTGTCAGCAGAGTACAGTGAACTGACCGCGCTTATGGAAGCTTAATTTAGTACACAAATTTAGAAGATTTTGCAGGTCATTTGATACTTTTCAATTATAAAAAAACATTAAAGAAGTTTATATGTTTGTCCTTTACAAGAACTAATCCATAAGCGGTATAAATGCTGAATGTTTGGAATTTGGTTTGGGTGTTGGGGTTTTCTTGTGTGGTCAGAAGCAAATGTTCCTGTGTGTTTACAAAGTAAATGACTGCTATATGCTAAGAAAAAAACAATCATAAAAGAATGTTAATTCTTTTTAAAAGTTAGTAAATCAGATATCGCATAAATAATTTTTTGCTCCATAATTGTGTTGTATTGCATCATTGAGTTTTATATTTTGCTGACTGCTTCTTTCTTCTGACTATTTGAAAAATTACCTCGCTTATTGCTTGCTGAAAGGTGACTGTAATAAACATGTGAAAATTGAGTAATTCTACATGTGCAGATATAGTTTAGCTGATTTCAATCCTGTTTGTTTTTTCTCTCTTTTCTATTTATCTAGCTTAAAAGGTGACTTGGCATACAACTATAGAGGACCTAGAACTAAAGATGATATAATTGAATTTGCTAATAGAGTAGCAGGGTAAGTATACTTTTCTGTGAAACTGGTTCTGCTGACTTAAAACTACTGTAGGATATTGAGGTGGGCCAAAAAATAAATCTGTTTAAAAAAGAACAAGACATTGACATGAAGTTAAAAAACTATATGTACTGTATGTGTGGTTGCATGCGAGACTGGTGTGATTGGCATGGGGAAGGTAAGTAGAGACTGGCTGGTCATAATCTCTTCTTTACAGCACAAGACGTACAGGCTTTTTGAAGTAGTGGAAACTATGAACAAATGAAATTCGTGGAAGCCAGAAACAAGAACGCTGACCTAGATGTTGGCTGATAGACATCATTACTAAGGCAGAATCTGTTTAATACTTGAAAGTTCTTTTAAAAATACCAGTTTAATATATGCTTATGCATTTGAAAAGTTACAGCAATTGGATAACATAAGGAAATTACTTCTACAGAATTGTTCATAACGATTTCTGTTGGCTTTTTCTTCCTTCCCTACAGTGGCCTGTGGCCTCAAAATGTTATAGACAGTAATCTTTGGGGAGAAAAGAAGAATCCTATTTCCTTCCTTCATTCTAGATATAATTACAAAGCATAATACATGAAGCATTATATAATATATGTAATATTAATTATTGTTCAGTATACTGTAGTTTAGGAATATCAGTGATCTTTAGTAATTTACCAGAATTTTGTAAAATTATTTATTTCTAAGATCAATTTTTCTAACTGCTGTGCTTACAGTCAGAATTTATCTTACAAATGATTGGAGCTGATTGTGGCCTTTCACTGTATAAAGAGGCCTTATAAGAAAGATGGGGAGAGACTTTTTATCAGGGTCTGTACTGACAGGATAAGGGGCAACAGTTTTAAACTGAAAGAGGGTAGATTTCGTATTGAACATAAGACATTTTTTGCTGCAAGGGTGATGAGACACTGGAACAGGTTTCCCAGAGAAGTTGTAGATGCCCCCTCCCTGGAAGTGTTCAAGGCCAGGGTGGATGGGGCTTTGGGCAACCTGGTCTAGTGGAGGGTGTCCCTGCCCACAGCAGAGGGGTTGGAACTAGATTGTCTTTGAGGTCCCTTCCAACCCAAACCATTCTCTGATTTTGTAGCCAGTAAATGGCATGTATGTTTACATCATAGCAGCATTTTATATTAAGATAGTAATTTCAAATTGAAGTGTGCTATTTGAGGAACATAAGTTTATTTTGGGGGGATTTTTAGTGTTTTTACTTTTAGTTGAAACTGAAATAATGAATTGAAAAAATAAATGAATTTGCATTGGGGAATTTAGTTTTGAAAAATAGAAAAATGTGTGGCATTTTCTTGAGGACTTTTATTTGTTTGGGTTTTGCAGCTTGCAGAAACTGAGATTTTTCTTTCTCTTTTTTTCCCTCCTCCCAGACCTCTTATCAGGCCGCTTCCTAGCCAGCATATGTTCGAGCATGTGCAAAAGAGACATCGTGTACTTTTTGTGTATGTTGGTGGTGAATCTCCTTTAAAGGTTTGAAGTTTGATTAAATAAAGTTACTTCTTTTGGCTGTTCACAGATGTAGTTTAAAATATCTTCGAAAAGACTGAAGTGCATGCTTGTCATGAATTCTCACCTTTTAATGTTTATTAAAGTTTTTTTCAGTCTCGAATCATAATCATATTTTCTAATTATTCTTTGAAGATAAGGTACATCACAAAACTTTTGTTTGAAGTATACTAAAAATTCAGTTATTAAAAACATTGTTTGTATCTTTGCAGGAAAAATACATTGAAGTTGCTTCAGAACTAATAGTTTATACATACTTTTTTTCTGCCTCAGAAGATGTGTTGCCTGAGGTAAGCTGTTTCAGTTCCTACTATTTCCACAGAAATGATACAGTTCTCCTGTATTTTTGCTGTTGAGATGGCTTCTTATAATATACTTGGCTTTGATAATCTTCAAACTAATTACACTGAAACATCTAATTTTTGAATCTATATTGAGAAAGAATACAAACTAAGTTTTAGTCTGTCATTGCTTTCTGTTGGCCAAAGTACTTGTTAGGTCATATTAATACAATTAAACAGAAGATATACAGAACCGAACTTGGACCGTACAACCTACGCAAGAAGGTAGATACTTTGATTTTTAGCCAATGCAAAAGTCTTGCTGCTCCTGACAGCCCTTTCACCAACCACTTTTATAACTAGTTTGGGGATCTGTGTCATGGAGTACCACTGATACTTCCCTGATTATTAGGGTAAGTGAAAAAGTAAGTTGTTTTCACTTTGTGCAATACAGATGATCAAAACATTAGTCTGCTCAGGGATCAACCAGTCCAGTCTACTGGTTGCAGAATTCTCATGTGGCTCTTTGAAGGATTCTGTAACAAGGAAATTATTTAGTTAGTCACAAGAGTGGAAAAAATTGCTACTACTGGTGTTAGTCTGACTACTGTTGCTTATGTGTTGAAGCGAAATCGAGGCATTTTCATTTATTCCTATCTCCAAGTGGGACCTAAGTCCAATGCCTGATAACGCATGACTTTGAAATTAGTTTGGGATTAGCAGGGTGAGAACTAGCATAACTTATTTTTTTAGGCACATGCATTTTCCAACATCATAAGTACAACTGGCCTCATTATAAATAGCGTGTTGTTAGATTTCCAGAAGCCCTGCATCAAAAGCTACCTCAATTTGAATACTGCTATTTGCACTTCAGTCCCAGCCGAGCAAGAAAAGTA